AGAAATCTGCAGAGATACTTTCCAAGCCTTTAAAGTTCAGTCTTAGAAGCTGGTTGCATTTTCTGCTTCTCATGATCCAAATAACCTCAAACACATTCAATAATGAGGTTTGAACCAGAGGGTGGTCATTTTTTTGGAGACACTCGTTTTTTTCACTTATTTTCCATGGACTTTTCCCTTTCCTTATGCAAATATCTTCAATATCTTATTAAATCCATGTTCAAATTTAGTTATAGTAACAAAAACTCAAAGATCACAATTTCTCATCACATTGACTGATACTGTTGCCAACATTTGGTAAAGCTAGTCAAACTACAGAACACAGCAACTGCTGTGAAAGATCACAGTCGTAGGCAGAGCATGGACAGCTCAACTCTAAAGAAAACTAAAGCTATTTCTCTTTATGTGCACCTCATGGACTTAGATGGTCATACACTTTTGCAGATGAAAAGGGCATCATTGTGCTTGATACTGTGACTATGTTATTTAATTGTAATGAACAATGGGCACCACATTTCAAACTGCAGCCACAGCACACAGAACAAAAACAATGACTGGTCAGGCTACATGTCAGCCTAGACCTGTGATTGGACAAAGCACTCAGGACAGTTAACAGGAATGCTTTGCATCAGTCAGAACTCTCAGAGCAAAGACATTTGCATACACTCCATGAAGCCAGAATGTAATCAACAATTCTCCACTGATTGTACAGAAGTGGACCACAGGGTGCCATCTCCAGGCCTAGACAGAACAAAACACTCATCACTGGCTCACTCTGACCATCAGTGATGCTACTTCAGATTTGAATTACAAATTAAATTAGATTTTTTTTTTTCAAAACTATGTTCTAATATTAAAGGGGCATTCCAGACTAAAACTAGCATTTCACATGTTATGTCTCATGTTACGTTGTATTCTGCAGTCCAGCATTACATCCTTCGGCCTTATTGCTTTGACAGAGCTCACAAATGGGTATAATTTTTGAGTTTTTGTCCATCAATGTACTGTCACTACAACACCTAGCATACATTATACAATAGACAACTATTGGGAATCTCCTTTATAGGCTAATAAATACATACATGATATCCAGCCTTCCAGCTGTAACTACTGCTATCTGGCTTCCATCTAGCTTGACAACAGGAACAGAAAAAATCTAACATTTCGCTCTCATGTATCCACCCCAAAGTTCAAAAGTTCCTCCCACCTGCAAGATACGTCATCATAAGGTTTCCTCAGTTGATAAACTGAAAAATCTCACTCTCAAGACTATTGCGTAACCACTATAAGGGGTGAGTAGGCATGTAACAAGAGTTTAATATGTTCATTTTCCTAAAATTTAACTGTCTTTGTATTTTCTGGGTTAATTAATGAAGCAGACAAGAAACACCTATCCTACCTCATTGAAAGGCACTGTGGTGGGCTGGGCGCTGGATTTGGCCCGGTGGGGCTCGCTCTTCCACGTCCTCCCAAAGAAGTGCTGGTGCTCCAAGTCAAACAGGGTCATGTGAAGCTGATGCTCACCTGCTTTCCCCTCTTCTGACTGTTACAATGCAAGAAAGTATAAATAAAGACAGTATCTTGGACAGCTTACCACAGGGCAAATTCTAGTGGAACCAACAAAGCACAACTGATTTTATACTTGGAAACTGGCACAGCCCAGCCGAATCCAGTTGAAACCATAAAGCACTTGCATTTCATCGCTGTAGATTCAAGCTGTATTACTCAAGTAGGGTCAACTGAGATTCACGTAAACTTTCCAATTTCCAGGCAAAATCTAAACAGCAGTAGAAGACTTCTAACTTGTACCACAACTTTAAATGGTATATATATATATATATATATATATATATATATGTATATGTATATGTATATATATAATATATATATATATATAACAAATTTTTCAAAATTAAATCATTAAGGTGTGAACACAGTCATTCAGTTCTTGATGTGAAATGGTTTGGCGTGAAATGCTTCTTTCTAGAGAAACTTACTAAGTCTGCTAAGTCTGAATTGTTCACAGTAGTGGTGATAGGAATCAGATGTTTGTAGTGTTTAATGCCTCTAAAGGCTACAGCACATGAAGCTATTACATGAAATGGTTATAAATATATTGTCTAATTCTTGAAAAAAGTGTGTTATAATTGTTTTCAATTAAACTTTTGGCCTAAACTCACTTTTTAAAAATATTTATGACAGAATGGAACATATGGGGTGTTGTAACACAATATAGCTTCCTCTTTTTCCCCCGTTTTATGACTAGTTTACCATGATCAACATTACGTATAAAAACTCAGACGAGTGAGGTGGTTATTTTGTAGAGGAAATAAAATGACTAATATCTGTGCTGTTAACACCGCAGCTCCTCGTTACTATCACCACCACTGTAAAGAAAACTGAGTCAGTAAAAACCTCGACAATAAAGCACTATTTCACAATAAAGCCTCTCTGAATGGCTTTGTTTACATCTCAGTGACAGAACTGTGCAGAATTCTTGGGAAGCCGGTGACATGCCCCTTTAAAGTAGACTAAATGAGACTAAAGTAACGTTATGCTATTATCCTATTCTCCAGCTTCTTATTCGAATTTTCCAGAATTTTCCAGACCTTTTCCACGGGTCAATGAGAAAGAAGCTAGTTAGTGAACAAGAAGCTGACTTTAGCTTTGTTTAAAGTAGAGCCTATTTCACCTGAACCGGACTGAGTTATGAGGACTATCAAACTTAGCTAGCTGTCTGTTTACAAAGTGATGAATGTCCTTCATTGAGGTCTAATCACCTGCTTTGTGTGAAATCCATCCACCTGTTTGAGTAACAACCGAAAAGCCTGAGTCGGGCCCGATGACAGGCGTGAGTGCTGACTGTGAGGAGGAATCACCCGCTTTTCCCCAAAAATGCGTTTCCACTCAGACATCTGCACCGCAGCCGTCATTTTCCAGCTCCAATCACTGACAGCACTGATAGCCTGTGATCAAAATCACGGATATGCTCTTGCTAAACAACTGAAATATGTGTGAGGTAGTAATTATGAGCGTCTACAACGAGCCTAAGTAAATTACTTTTGCTTGTCAGCATTATTAACTAGTACTACCAGGTTAACTTACTCAGCTAACTTTCTTGTCAGACTCTTCGAGCAGCCGGTGTCACCGTTAGCTCATGAACATGCAGTCAGTTCGTTAACGTTACTCTCAGCGCCTACTGGTTTAAATTCAGAAAGCAGTAACGTATTGAAGTCCTGCTCGCTGCCTGCTGTATTTTCCTATCTCCGCTTCTCACACCGCTCTTTTGTTTCTCAGCGTTGCTAAGCTAGTTAGTTAAGCTTCCCCGTTACCTACAGCCGTTAACTAACCGGCTAGTCTGCTAACAGAAGCATGCTGACCAGCAGTGCGCCCGGTTAACGGTTTCTTTATGGCTCTATATGTGGTGGTATTCAAAAGGTGGCTATTTACATTTGAACAGGCCCTCTTATCTGTATTAATATAATGGCACAAATCATAAAACTGCGTTAGACAATCCGCTAGACAGCCCTCCATCTAACTAAGACCCTGGCCATGTTGTTTACTACGGGAGCTTGGAAGCTGTTACCAAGGTGACAATAGCGGCGGGCGCGCTGTATCGCCCTCTTCAGGGGAGGAGGTGAAATTAAACATTAGCGTTAACATGAGCACTGTTTCTTGGAGGAGTTTGCCGCTGGGATGTTTGTGTACACCTCTGCGCAAAAGTCTTAGGAAGTCATAAAAAATTATTTAAAACTGTTTATCTCAAGTGTGTCTGCCTGTAAAAAAAAACTACATAATATTAGAATAAATGTAAATGGAAACCAACCTAACAAAAAAGATTTTTTGTTTTAAAAAATGTTATATCTTGGTTACAAGAGCTCAGGTATTGTTCCAAACGTCTCTGTTGACTTTAGTCATTGCATGGATTTCTTAAGTTTCATAAAAAAAAGCAGCACATCTGATTTAATTTAATAACATAATGCACACATACCCAGACCAGCCACTATATTAAGTACATCTTCCTTATATCTACACTTTGTCCATTTTCTCAGCTCTACTTACCATATAGGTGCACTTTGTAGTTCTACAATTACAGACTGTAGTCCATCTGTTTCTCTGCACACCTTGCTAGCCCCCTTTCTTTCTGTTTTTCAATGGTCAGGACCCCACAGGACCACCACAGAGCAGGTATTATTTGGGTGGTGGATCATTCTCAGCACTGCAGTAACACTGACGTGGTGGTGGTGTGTTAGTGTGTGTTGCGCTGGTATGTGGGGATCAGATACAGCGGTGCTGCTGGAGTTTTTAAACACTGTGTCCACTCACTGTCCACTCTATTAGACACACTTACCGTGTTGATTCTCCTAGTAGATGTAAAGTCAGTCTGCACAGTCTGTATTGGTCATCCTCTAGTCCTTCATCAGTGGTCACAGGATGCTGTTGGCTGGGTAATTTTGGTTGGTGACTATTCTCAGTCCAGCAGTGACACTGAGGTGTTTAAAAACTCCAGTAGCACTGCTGTGTCTGATCCACTCGTACCAGCACAACACACGCTAACACACCACCACCACGTCAGTGTCACTGCAGTGCTGAGAATGATCCACCACCCAAATAGTACCTGCTCTGTGGTGGTCCTGAGAGGAGGCTGAACATTATAGAACAAGGAACAAAGTATGCAGAGAAACAGATGGACTACAGTTTGTAATTGCAGAGCTATAAAGTGCACTTACATATTAAGTGCTCAAATTTTTAAGTACAACTGCACATCATTGATTGTTATTTATTTACAAATATAATAATGAATACATGCTAGAAACACATTATTAACTAAAGTTAAAGTAGAATTTAAACTAGAAAACTGAATTTAAAATAGAAAAGTGAATTCTATTTCCTAACGCCTTTGAATTCTGAGACTCTGACTAATTTGTAGCTGTAAACAGAAAGAGGAAGGAAATCAGTCCTTTAAAAAAAGACCACTTCACACACATCATAGACACACACTCCTCTGTGTCCTCAGAAGATATAAGCCAGTTCCTCAGTGAGTGAGTACATGTGAGTACATTTTAGCACTCTATTTTTCACAGATGTTCATAATATAACTATGAAATGTATCATATATATATATATATATATATATATATATATATATATATATATATATATATATATATATATATATATAAGATATCAACACACATATTTATACATGACATGCAGTATAGCTCAATAATGCGATTAAAGCATGAACATATAATGTATTTAATATCTATAACACTTGATCTCTTAGTCATATTGTTGTGTATTGTTGTCCTTTTAGGGTCATCCTGTCAAATATCATAAGTAGGCAGGATGATTATTGTTTGTTCACAAAACCGATGTGTGTGTGTGGGTGTGTGTATGTGTGTGTTTTAACTACTTCTCAGGAACAAGAGCAAATGTATTCAGAATTCACCAGCATCTTGCACTTGATATTTCTCATAGATATTGAAGGTACTATATCTCACATGTTTTACTATAAAGACATATCGCTGCTGTCGGAACAAAACCTCCATTTTTGTCGTTTTTCAGTTTTTGACATAATTTGAAAATGCCTGTTGCCCTTTACATTGTGTCAAAATTTCATGATGAATGGACCAAAAGAAATGACCCAAAATTACTTGGAAAAACGTCTGGTTCCATTGACTTACATTAAAAGTAAAGTATGTTTTTTTCTTCTCCTGCAAAGTTACCATTTTGGAAATGCAAGGTTTTGTTCTGACAGCAGTGATATATTCATTATGATATACTGTAATGGAATAGCAAATTTAGTAATTATGCATTTAGTATGTACCTTGTTGTCATACACACGTAACTCACAGTCTCTAATTCATAACAAGACCATTGCTATGAAGTCACGTAACAGTTACAGACAGAGTATAATATATTCCCTGCATTATAGAAAGTACTGTAAACTTTAGGTCCCATATGTTTTTTAATCCTACATTTCTTATCCTACAATACTGTAAAAAAAAACTTTTACATTAGTTTATGTATTTCTAACATTTGAAATTTCAAACTGTAGTTTTCATATTTTACTCTACGAAAGTTTTTTATTCTTGTCTCACCGCAACCAGTTTCCCTGAGGACACTGTAATACTAAGTTCATTCATTCCTGCTAATAGTGTGTGTGTGACTGTTGCAGGTTCTCTAGGTCAGACACAGTGGTTGGTGAGATGTAATGAAGAAAGCATCTGTGCTTTGAGAGGGTCAGAGGTGTTGCTCAATTGCTCTTACTCATTAACCAACGTCCAGACAGTGATATGGTTCAGCCACAAACAAAGAGCTAAATGGAGAACTGGGGAACATCCCGAAGATCTGGCTTTAGACTCAGACTACGCTGGCCGTGTGGATTATGTAGAGACCAAAAACTCCACATGTCTGAGAATAAGAGATGCAAGAGAGAAGGACTCTGGAGAATATCGCCTCCTGTTCTTTACCACAACCGGACAGAAATATATTGGCTCAACAGCAGTAAACCTGACAGTTACAGGTAACAGTTGGTTTCAGTTTGGCAAAGTGATTTGTTCAGTTACTTCTTGTACAACAGGGCGATTTTCCAGTTATGTAGTGATCAATAATTAAGCGATTAATTTCCCTCATATATGCAGTTCAGACTTTTGCTGTCTGAAGCTTGCTTCTTTAGTTTCGCACTTGAGCTACAAGCATAATTCTGCTAGCTAATAAGTAATGAATGCTTATATCCCAACAACTAGCATCATGCGAATCACATACATAAAACATCACTTGCCTCTTAGTTAACTAATCTCAAGTGGACTTGCCAGTGCTGTTTCTTACATTGTCTGACATACCATTATCTATAGACATAAATAGGGACCAAATCCAGGCTTCAGGAAGGGTGTAACTACTGATCTACGTGTCTCAATTGATCAACTATGTTTAGGGTGAGAGGAAAAAGGTTTTGATTTTTCATCACTGTAACCCAGTGTAACTCATCACTGTAACTCATTCAGATATACAGGTGAGGACGCATGGTAGCAGTGTGGAGCAGAGAGAACAGGGCGTAAACCTCACCTGCAGCACCTCCTGCAAACTGAACATATTCTGGTGCACCTGGTATAAGAATGGACAACGTGTACAACTAACATTATACCAGAATGCTGAGCCTCTGGTTTTATCCAGCACTGATGGAGGCAGCTACTCCTGCTCGATTAAAGACCACAGCAATACAATCTTTTCCTCTGCTGTTTGTGAGTGTGAATTCTTTCCAACTCTCTTACAGAATTTATCATGACTTATTTGATATTTATGTAATAAGTAAATACAAGAGATGCATTAATGTTATGTAATGTATATATAGCTATATACAAACTCAAACATTGACTAGTTATAACTATAGATGGCAAAGCCCAATTTTTTTAGCAGATTTTTATTAGCTTGTTCTATAACATAATCTCACACTGTGTGGGTGAAATCAAACAAACTAGCACATTTCCAATAGCAAAGACTATTCAGCACAATGAGTCATGCATAATTATGCTGTGACATTTTAGTATAGATGTAACAGCAGCATTCAAATACAGTGTGGGTGCACTTACTTGGCTTGCAGTATTTACATTCATAAATTTACAGCACAGATCAGCCAAAATCAATGTAATAAACAGGCCAATCGTTGATTTGGAGCAATTTTTGGAGCAAAACCTATCTGATTCAAATCTTTGCCAATTGCAACTGTGCATCCCTTTTTATAATGTATAACCAACATGGGCCAACATGGGCCAACATGGACCACATGGACCACATGGACTTGGACTCTATTCTGATGCATTTTTGTGAGTTTATATGAAGAAAAATGGCCACCACCATTACAATAAAAAAATAAGGAGGTACATTAACATTAAATATGTGTAATTATACATAATTATTGACTGTAATTCTACTATCAAACAATGATATCTAGTGATATTTATTATATATGAATGTATAAATTTTCCCATATACCAGCAAATACCATGTGTGGATATATTGTGCACCCCCACAAAATACCATAAAAATAAGTAGTAAAATAGTAAAGATTACACTCTTTAAAAAGGTGGTTCTTCAAGAGTTCTTTAGTAAAGACATTGATTCTATATAGAACTATGAACACTCAAAGAACCCTTTGATTAAATGGTTCTTTGCATCATGAAAGCGTTCTTCATATTGGTGGAGAATGTGCTGTTGGTTGGCTCTGTATAGAGCCTTTTTGAAAATGGTACTATATAGCACCAAAAAACGTTCTTCTATTGTTACAAGCTCGGCATCGTAACTACAGATAAACCATTTTTGGTGCTATACAGAACCTTTTTCAAAAACTCTTTCCCAATGCAAAAAACCATTTAATCATGCAAAGTGTTCTTTAAGTGCTCATAGTTTACATAGAACCATTTTCCTTACTAAAGAACCCTTGAAGAACCGTTTTTCTTTCATGTGTACCCAAGTAGCTTAACAAATGAACTCACTGAATTTACTTGTTCTCAGTTTATTGTTTCATGTTTTTGTTAAACCTCATTACTTCGCACTGCTCATGAACAAATTGTGTGTAATCTTCTGTTGATATCTGTGAATCTTGCAGGTGTTTTGGGTAAGAACTGTTTTAAGGTGACCTATGCAGACAGACAAGTCTGTGCTTTGGAGGGCTCGTCAGTGAACATCCCATGCACCTACTCATATCCCAGTGACCAAGCAGTCATTGAAACATACTGGTCTTACAATCATACTGACATGAGACAGTCCAAGCAGTTCGTGGGACGTGTGGAGTATGCTGGGGACAAGAACAAGAACTGCGCTCTAAGACTGACCGGCCTAAGACAGAATGATTCTGGAAATTATCGCTTCAGTTTCATGACTAATACTGCGCCAAGGGTCTTCATTGGTTCACCAGGAGTTCAGCTGACTGTCACAAGTAACTAATGTCACTGAATCTGCAACATTTGCCACATGCTACATCACGTGGAGTTACAAGGCTAGTGTAGCTAACAAGTAATGGAAGCTTGCACCACAACTACCATTATGCAAAGTGCATGTAGATATCAAACACCTCCCTCTAACTGCACTGTGGTTTCTGACACACTGCCCTAATATGCATGCCCCCAACAATAAGGCTAAATTCTGAAATACCTCAAAAATGCTGCCTCATTTTGATACCTTATATGCTACCTTATTTTGTCTAAGCATCAAGAGAGCATTGAATGCTTTCTTAGCCGCTAAAGCAATCCTGCGATGCAATGAGATGCAATGCGCAGTACATACAAAAGTACATAACATAGCTAAAACAGTAATAGCAGCCACATTGAAGCCTAAGTGTTGTAAGTACTTTTGTCCTTTAGTGCCTTTTTCCCATTTTTTGACCAGTTTACACAATTTTACTAAGTGGGCTTCCATTACTTGTTGTTAGTATATATTGTAAATTAAGTAGCAAAACTCCATCTTGCCCACTTCATTTAGGATTTGGGAAAATTCTGTAAATTAGATTTTTCATTAAACTATCAGTTTAAATCTGTCTAAAAAGTCTGTATCTTTTTTGTTTGTAGGTATGGAGGTTAGAGTTAGTGCTGCTGTAGTATCAGGGCAGACAGTAACACAGAGCTGTAAAACCACCTGTACTCTCAACGATGATATCACTTACATCTGGTACAAGAACGGACAACCCATGACAAACCAAATCACCAACTACAACAAGCTTTACCTGGACCTGCCCAGCTACAAGAAGACAGATAACTATACATGTGCTGTGAGAGGTAATAAAACACTTTTGCCACCTGATCTTGGTTTTCACAATGGATTCCTTTCAAGAGGCATTCCTAAGAGGAGTACTAACTAATGCCAATTCCATCACAACTATGTAATTCATGTTGATGAATCGTAGTCCTCTTACAGGCCATTCATCTACACCTCACACAGCAATCCTAAATGCATGGTGTCATGCAATTACAGGAACTCCAGTGATTCATGTAGTTCTGCAGAAACATAAACAGACAAGTGTTTTACTAACAGTATTATTTCGTTGTTAAGTTTTGGGTTTTGAGTTAAAATCCTGAACATTATCCAATCAGGATTTTATTATCTGTAGTGTCTAGTTAGATCATGCTGGCTTTTCCATTGACTTAACACTCTCTTGAGATCTGATTAACCACCAACACAATTAGAAAATGATAGTGGATTTGTTTCCCCAAGCAAGTCTTGTTTCCTGTTCCACCTAGCTTCGCCTGCTTATTACCTTATACCAGTGTCTAGTCCAGTACTTATCACCATCCTTGTCCTCATTCCTGCCGTTACATTGGTCCCTGTCCCACCTCTAAACCCTGTTCATATTGTCCTCCCTGTCCCGTTTGCTGGCCCGTCCTCCGTCCTGGGTCCTGCTGTAAATCTGGCTCTTCCTTTGAGTCAGATTTCACACCTCAGCAGCTGCCCACTTGGAAGGTTCTATCATGATTTCCCTATACTAGGGTCCACTTTCTTCTGTCTCCTCACATTTTCTCACTAATCCTGCCTTTTAGTATTTTTCTCTTTACATAGTTAACAGTTAACCCCTTAAAATCTCAGTCTTATTGCATACTAAGGCTCATTATTCAGTAACTACAGGAACTTCAATGCAAACTGGAGTGTGTGTAATAAAAGTGTGTAATAAAACTTTGGACCTGCTGTTGGGCCCTGGTCGTTTAAGGGTTTAATAGTGTTTTGAGGCAATAAGTTCAAATCTTTACTAAGTCACTGTAAAGCTGCATCACATCATAAGTATGTCACCATAATGTTAGGTACAAGCTTAAATGTCAATGTTAGAGCTGCCATAAAATTTTCATATGTGCTATAACTTTACAAATCCTGTAGGAGCATGGCTTTAATGAGCTGTATTGTAGTCCTGGTAATCAGATGAACAAAGGCTACTTCTGCAGTGCATAATTATGTGCATAATTTGTGCTTGAATTCAGAATTGAAGGGATAAACCCATTAAGAAGTGACAATTCATGAATGAATTAACTACAGAGAATGTTCTTAATTTGTGTCTTGATTGTCATACATTAGATTAAGGTTTTATAACGTGTCCATCGATTCAGAATTTGACTGTTGTCAGATACAATACATTTTCACAGAAGATGACCTGTTTCTCTTTACTGTTATTTTCTCGGTTCTGACATTTTAGAGCCCTAACAGTCATTGTAGGTCATCATTTTTACTGACTACACAGTGTATATGAGTATGAATAGAAAAAAATGAAAGAAATTATGTCAATGTATTGTTTTTTTAAAAGTGTTTCTCTGTGAAGTATCAGTAGGTGACTGCTGGACTTATCCTGCTATTTGGGGAACAGTAGGAGTGATGTCTCTGCTTCTCTTTCTTCTTTCTGCGATTATGTACATCAGGTGAATGTAAAAGAATTATAACATTAGCTCAGTACATAAAACACAGTCTTAGTGGTTCTCAGACCCAGACTTGAAGGACCCTAAAGGCAACTGGATGTGCTGCACTGGATGTGCTGCATCGCATTCAAAAATTTGAAACCATTGTTTTTCATGATGTTGTGCACTCTGGCACTGAAATTCATTGTTAACATCTGATGGAGCTCTGTGATTCCGAGGACTGTTTAATTTCTTAGTACATTACTCAGCATTTTGTTATTGCTACATTAAATTAAAGCCATATTGAGACCACCAAAAGCCACAGTTGGCTTGAAATTTGCACAAAGGCAGTCAGTCTTTCAGACAAATGCTAGTGATCTGTTACTTCAGTTAATGTTACTAGCCTATTCATTTTTTCACTTCGCGTCTTTCAGCTTTAAAACAGCGAGTTTGTAAAGAGGTAGCAAACTGATGGCAGGCATGATAAGTTATGCTGAAAGTTTTATTTCATTAAATCTATACGAGTGGACTGTATCCTCACTCACGTACAGGCATTCTACAGCATAGTATAGCAGCACTTTGCTAAATTGCACAGAATAGTGTATCCAGTGTGTGATGGCCTGGATAAAGCTTAGTAAACTCATCAGTTATCAAGCCCTTCATGAGCTGGTCAGAAACCTTCAATCACAGAAAACACAAACCAAGTTCTCTATGAAGGGTCTCCAGAATGGGGATTGAGAACCACTTAACTAAATATGTTGTTGCTGTCGCGCAAAATCTCTGTTTTTTCTTGTTGTTTACTTTTTTGGCAGAATTTGAAAACTCCAGTTTCACTTTGCACGGTGTTAAAACTTTATGATAAATGGACCAACAGAAATGGTCCAAAATTAAAAGAAAAAAAGTTTATTGCTCCTTCTGTAAAGTTACCATTTAGATACAAGGTTTTTTTTTGTTTGTTTGTTTGTTTGTTTGTTTTTTTTTCTGACAGCGATATTAAGGATATTAAAGGAATACACCAGTGTTTATTAACCTAATCTCCATTTGTTGGATACCACAGACTATTATTTTGATGTGTTTCAAAACACTAATTAAGTTCTAATTAGTTCTGATGTTACTTATTTATAGGAGTTAACATGCTTATTAGTTATCACTTAATGAGTAATTCAGCTGTGAACTAATGACAAACTAAACTATCAGTTAACAATGTACTCAAATACTAAGTACTAAGTACTTAATCAATAACTAATGCTTAATGCAGTTAATGAATATGTGAATAATATGTATTTAATTACTTATCATCATATAATTGTCAATTATTTTGCAGCCTTTAATGTAAAGTGTTACTGATCCATTTTTATAGTCACTTTTTTTTTTTTACAAAGAAATCAGCTACTGTTCTTTTTAATCTGGGTGAATGGTCCCTTCAAAACAAACAAGCAAACAAACAGGCCATATCTCTACTGAAGATAACTGATGTAATTGATTTTGATTGTGTGTTCAGGAGGAAGAGGGGACCTGAGGGACATGCATTCAGTCAGGTACTGACTTTTCTCCTACTATCACTTTCTCTATTAGCCACATGCTCATACAAAGCTAAATGCTGTGTAACGACGGATGTGGCCTTGTCCTTATCTCTCTCAGAGCCATCTGCATCCTGAAGATGACACTTACACAGCCCTCAACACCAAGACCACTTCATCTGACTACTACACTTTGAGGGTAAGTCTACATTGTGTGTGTGTGTGTGTGTGTGTGTGTGTGTGTGTGTGTGTGTGTGTGTGTGTGTGTGCTACTCCAGTGTGGAAACTTTGTATTTCTTTTTGTTTTCAGCCCAGGACAGCTCCAACCAGTAACTTACACACCACCGTCAAGCCTGCAGCCCTGTTGGTCAATGATACTGTAAATATGATGCTTGTTTCATACAGTACTGTGCAGGAAAGTCAAAAGTCAAAGATAGAATAGCATCAGACAACAAAAAATACAATACATACAGTAGTACAAAAGTCAGGGACCACCATTCATTTATCAAATTTCCAGTCAAAACAGCCAGAAAAGCCATTAAGTATGTTATTCATTTTTCAGAATCCTGTATTCAAAACATTGGTTCAAAACATGATTAAAAGATCATTAACCCTTAAATGACCAGGGCAGACCAGCATACCCAAGGTTTTATTACACACTTCTATAAGCTAGGAATAGCTCAACTGGTTTGCTTTGAAGTCCCTGCAGTTACTGAATACTAAGTCTTATTATGTAATAGGCCTGGGGTTTTAAGGGGTTAAAAAAAGATCAGGAGCTCAGAGCTCAACTTCATAAATGTGCTTGTGATTACTTGGATCATGAGGAGCAGTGAATGTAACCAACTTCTAAGACTGAACAAGCAAGTGACCTGAAAAAAAAGGAAGCTGTAATAAAGGCCAAGGATCACACAAAATACTGAAAGAATTGCTATTGTATTTAGTTGTTAAGGCTTCTGTGGAATTTTCTGTGTTTTCCCGTCTCTAAAAACTGAATAACTTGTACTTAATGGCTGTTTTGACTGGAAATAAATAAATAAATTGTGGTCCCTAACTTTTACACAGTACTGTATATACAATGACCTACCACTTTATTAGAAACACCTGCCTTGTACCTGCACTTCTTGGCCATTTTATCAGAGACATCAACCAAATAGGTACACTTTGTAGGTTACAGTCAATGACTGGAACTCAGTAGACCTACAGCCACATTCCATCAATGGAAAAAGACCACCACTGAAACAGCTGTTATCATTTTCAATAATAATACTATACAATAACAATACTAAATACTGCATATGGGGTTTCTAATGCTTTGTTAGCACTAAGCTAACAGTGGTGTGTGAACATTCCTTGGTCATTCTAGATTAAATTAATCTGAAGCTTGTAAAAGACATCATACACTGTTACCAATTTAATTTTTTGATACATACTGAAATCATTACACCCTCTGTCTGTTGGTACAAAGTATCTAATAAAGTACCTAACAGTCCTTAACTACCTAATAAACTGGTAACTCAGTATATTTGGCTTCTTTTCATTACATTTCCTCTTTGTGCAATCCTGTATTTAAAATGTAAAAGAATGCATGCACATATGGACTGTGTTTAGAACTAACATGTGGTAACCTTCTGCGGTTTTGTCAGGGTGTGTACACAGCACTGCAGAGAAGAGCTCCAGAAGCAGAGTATGAGACCTTGAAGAGAAAACAGTCAGCAGAGACCTGAACTACACCAGAGATCATAGAGTAGCTGCAATGGATTCTCCATGATGCACCTTTGTGATTTGCTCCACTGAGAACTGTAAGAGAGTCTATTTTTGCCAATAGTATCAAGGCTGAATGTTTCTACGACTGTGTTTGGGTCAGCTGATACTGACCTTCAGCAGGGTTTTGTGTTGTTGTACTCAAAACCAAAAGGAAATGTGTTCCAAGTTGGTCTGCTGTTGTACGCTGTTTTATTTTAGTAGATATTTTTCCATTGACAAGACAAAAGATAATATCCATCATACAACTGTATGTAATGTTTTTATAATTATGATTTTTGTTTAACCATTTGACTATTGTCTTTTCGTAACAAGTTTTCTCATTAACACCTCAAAATCTCTGAATCTTTCCTTGTAATCTAGTTTGTTTTTATATTTTCATAATGTCTAACTGTAATATATAACAGGGATGTGCATTCTAATTTTGATGGCAGCAAACCGTGACATTTAGACATACTAGCCAGGCTATAAATGTTAAAAATTTCTACAATAATACTAGTAAGTAAGTAAGTAAGTAAGTAAGTAAGTAAGTAAGTAAATGAGTAAATTTTATTTATACAGCACATTTAAAACAAAAGTGCTTTACAATAAAACACAAACAGGATTTCCACCTTCTGATCACCACCACTGTACATTAATACAACAGTGTACAGTCCTCAATCCACAGTTCAACAGTTTAACAGCTGCTGAATGCTAATCGATAAAAGTATGTATTAAGCTTGGTAAAAAAAGCCAACAACAGAGCATGCTCAGTGTCACTTGAGAGACCATTCCAATGTCTTGGTGTGGCGAAAGCAAAAGCACAACCCTCTTTTTGTTTAAGACGAGACCAGTTTAAAATTGATTGGGACGTAGACCTTAAAGGGTAAATACTCCCTAAGACCTTTTTTTCATTAATAACTGAAATGCACTGCCCTGTAATAATAAAACATACCAGCCTTACTTGAAATGTGAACACATCTTTCCAAACTGTAAAAATATCATTTTTTCCATGGTCAGTTCCTCCTCTGCAGCACCCCTCTGGTTCAACTCTGCTATAGGCGTGGATGACGTGTCTTCTTACCAAAGTATGATGACACGTCACAGTATACAAACCAGTCAACCAACATTACCGCCCCCTGATGAAGCTCTACTCTTGCTCAGAGCCGAGATGGCTCTGCTTGTGCCGCGCTCATAAATATGAAACCATACGAGCCTAAAGCAAGGGAGAACATCGGCACCATTTTGGATGTTTCTCCATACATAACATCTCATTGCATTTAGCATGTTATTTAGTGTTATAGTTAGTTATTATTGGTAATTCTTAGTTATTGTATTTGTAGATATTGTAGTTTTTAGCATATATGATTAGGTAACTGGACAGACCGATTAAGTGAGGATTCTAGCAAGTTTTCAAGCAAGTTTCTAGCAACTGCCATGAACAGTTTGCAGAAAATAAGGATTTAGGGCCACTGCAGCAAACCTTGGATGACAGGTGAGGCAGTGTACGACCCCAACCTGGTCACATCTGTGAATAACCTGTTTGGTACGATACATCTCCCTGTTATACTTCTGTGCTTGGAATCAGACAGCATGCGAACAGCTAGGTTGTGATGCTGGTAATGCTAGAGAATGACTAGCATAAGCTAACTATCTTAGGTTCCAAAGGTTGGGTTACCTTTTTTTCTGCATTAACCTCGGCCACCACCCTACTGCAAACGTTCTCAACAAGTGAAAGATTTGTTCAGTGCCCACAAGAGCACCTGTATAGAAGGAAATGGTCCCTAATGGCCTAATAGAGGTATGTGTTTCACGGCTTCATGTCAAAATGAATGAAACTTAGACAGTGTTCAAAGAAATCCACTTTATTCATTCAGAATTCAGTACATCTAAGAAATCAGGACTTGGGTTATAACAAATATTGACCTGCTGAACAGTTAATTTGAAGCTAACTGTCACAGTTTTAGGGAAAGTTCTAATTAACAAATTTTCAGTTACTTGATGGGATGTAAGGGGAAAAAATCAACATCTACATCAAATGAAAATATACAGAAAAACATTACAGAATATGAAAGTGCATCAGAGTATTGCCAAACATCGCCTTTGTTTTCTGTTGCCATACTTTCTCCCTGACTTCTCAGAGTGGAACATAAAAATGCCATATAGCAATTTCAGCATTTGTTAACTGGCATCTGAACAGTTAGCAACATATTTTTACCCCATCATAAAAGTTAAATTAAAGTTAACTTCTTAATGACTTCTTCTTTATAATTTCTTTTCAACAAGCTGCCAAAATTTGTATTTTTTTCTGTGTGATTTTATGTGATTTTTCAATGCATCTGATGTTATGTAACATGATTTTCCACTGTACAGTGTTAAAGTATGTCCCTGCTGTCTGCTACTTTCTGTGGATGGACATTTACATTGCTTATAAATCCATTGCCTCTTGCAGAAGTTTGAACTGCTGACTAATCCTGGTGATAACAGTGAATTGTTGGATGAAGCAAGCTGGCCCAGCTATATGAAAAAAGGGGATGGGGAGGAATGGAATGGCCCTGTCCATTGCATCAAATCATGAACTCTGCCACATACAAAATTTGACTTATCCTTTGCTGTTTATTCACCTTTCCATAGGGGAAAGCTCTGAGTAAGCCCACTTAAGGAAAAAAAAACTTTTAAACTACTTTTTAATAAGCTCCAATAGGCAGTTTTGATGGTTTAAGTTTTAATATTTTTACATCTGCAAAACTTAAAAAATAATAGGCATCTCATACAATAAACAAACACCTTCTATGTCTGATACTGTGAGTTTTGAGCCTGCAATTTAGTCGCATGCAAATGTTTGGTCAAATTATATGCTTTGTTGATAAATAAGTAAAACATGAGAACATGTCCTTTACAGAAAACGCATTTTAACACATGATTACAGTTTAAAAATACATATGTGGCCTGTGCAAAAGGTCTGTGCATATATTATATTTTATATTATATTTTTTTCCAATATGTTAAACTCAAATAAATAGAAATTGTGCACCAAAAAAAAAAAAGCAGAAGAGAATCTGTAAGTTTGTTGCTCCTAGAGGATTTGTTGACTTATTTTTACATAGACACATTATCTGCTATCATCTCATCAGAGCTGGGCAGTTCCTCTAAGCTAGGGTGAGGTTAAGGTCACTGACCATTTCTTAATCTGCTTCCTCTTGCTCATTCTTGGTTACACTACACAAGCCATGGACAAGTCATGATTGTAAAATCTCCTCATACAAAGCCGTCACAGAGTCCCTGACATAAAACATGTCTTTGATTCATCTGCGTAAAAGTGGTCAACAGTCCCAATCAGATGCTGCCAAAAACGAGCTTGTGTTCTTTAACAGTCAGATGCTGCTTGATCTGTGACCAGAGCACACAGTTAAGTATTCTGATGTAACAACCTAAAAACCTTGTTAGAATACTTCCAAAAAGAGAAGTTACTTTGTCCTCTTCACAGAGTCCATGTGCAGATTACCAAACTTATATTCTGTTTTGTGCTTTCCAAAATGTAACCCCTTAAAACCCCAGGCTTATTACGTCCTAAGTCTTATTATTCAGAAACTACAGGGACTTTAATGTAAACTGGTTGAGCTATTCTTGGGTTACAGAGGTGTGTGATAAAATGTTGCGCCCGCCAGACACTTAAGGGGTTAAGAACACATAAGTAAAAACACAAAACATGATTACAGAGAAAATGCGTGAGCTACGTCGAAGCTGCAATGCAGCAAATGTTGCATCCAACTCACCAGTGGTGTAGCAAGTCAACCCTAGGCCTGTAAGTAAAGCTTTTGGGCAGGGCTCCTTTAATTCGAGACACAAACAGCGCAAGGAGAGGCCAGCATGACCTCACATATTAGCGCAAATTGCTCATGGAGCCAAAGTAAAATATAATAAAAGACAACAACCAGTGTATAAACAGTGTGGGTGAATGGGTGTCTCTCTTATTTATAAGCAGAGGTTTTTATGAAGCTATATTAAGTAGGCAGAAAACTCACATCCAACACAACCTCACTGTTCTTACCACAATGCAGAGTGCATTTTTGAAACTGAATTCAATTCCTAGGCATCAGATAAAAAAAAACAGAGCTGGTAATTTTGGCAGTATTGTAGCGCCAGGGGAGGCCATGATTCCACCATGAGCAGTGCACCATAAACACATACCACATATCTTTAACTGAAAGAAACAAAATAAACAACATTTAAGTCCCTTTTCCGGAGGACGTAAGCCTCCCACAATCCTCCTGGCATGGCCATCAGCACTGCCATGCCTTACGAGAGTCGCAGCGCCAGCAGTAGTGGGTCACTGCCCTATTCATTTCCCTCTTACACAACATTATAATAAAATGTTACTGCCAAAAGCTGACCTCTTATCAAGATCAAGTTCATATTCATATCAAGTGCAAACTTCACTTAAACTATAAGCGTCTTTAGGTAAGGTGTGTGTGTCTGTGAGTGTGTTCAGGTGATGGTGAGGTTTAACTCAAATTCAAAGCTGACGTGCTTTTTATTTGTTTTTGGCTTTGAAAATGGGTGGAACACAACATCCCCTGTTCTGTCAGGGTAACAGGTGTTTGATACAAGTAGCTTCACATTCAAAAAATGTATTTGAGGGAAACTTTCTGTTGCACTAGTAAAAAGCTGAAAGGTAACAGTGGATAGTAATGGTTGCTCAGGACTGAGTGAAGTACTAGAAAAATGAGGCCAGGGTTAACAAAGTGTCAATAATCGGTGATAAGAAGCAGATGCGATCATGATCTTATAACCTAAGAACTGATTTTTGGGTCCCCCAAAACACAGGCCCATACACAAGTGCATGCTCTGCATACCCAGACACTATGACACTGCAACTTACCAGGCCACGGCCTGCTTATCACTATAGGTGGAGATATGAGATATAGGAGATATTGGCTTCTGTTTTGGAGTGTGATAGAGATCGCCTGGCAGTCAGTACACTGCAATTTTTTCTTTCACCATAGTGGCAACAGAACCATAAAATTACAGTGTAGTGCACTGCAAGGTAACAAAGAAACACAAACTTTACATTGAAAACTGGTGAATTTTGGCAAAATGAAAATTTGAACATTTTTTCCAAGTGTTAGTGTCTCATATGTCACAAGACTGTAATAAATTTAATATCAACAGACATGAAACAAAGCATGGACGTTACAGTAAATATTCAGGACAGTGCTGAGAATGATCCACCACCCAAATAATACCTGCTCTGTGAGGGTCCATGGGGGTCCTGACCACTGAAGAACAGGATAAATGGGGGCTAACAAAGTATGCAGAGAAACAGATGGACTACAGTCTGTAATTGTAGAACTACAAAGTGCACCTATATAGTAAGTGGAGCTGATAAAATGGACAATGAGCATAGAATCAAGGAGGTGGTCATAATCTTATGCCTGGTTGGTGTATAGTTACTAAATCCTTTTTTGTGTTCAATTTCATTGTTTTGTTAGTGACAACATCTACACTGCTTTCAGAGAGGTCACATCTCTGACTTTAGAGATTTAGCGCTTTATTTCAGACTGAAAAATCCAAAAAAGAGAAGAAAGGAGTGTAACAATCTTCAGTTCGTATGCTGGATTTACTAAGACATTAATATGCGTTACTAATGTGGTTGCTGTAATGTTGCTTTTGTCCAGCAGATGGCGGTGCTTTTTCAAATATAAACACTGGCAGGCTGGGGTTAGGGTATGCACAATATCTGTGCTATACAGTTTGTGTTGTCAAATTCTTCTTGTTGCTATATTAATTTTTGCGTCCCTGTCCACTGTGGACTCAATTGCCCAAACTTTGACCCCCTCCATCACTGCCTGTTCTGTTTCTCTCTCCCTCTTTCTCCTGTATAGCCTACTCTCTCTGTCTCTCTAAGGCCTTGTTTGCCCTGTTGTCATAGTCAGCCTAGTAGCAAGTCATTCAAGTCGAGAGAGACAGAGATGGGGTGGGGATTGGGGGGGGGGTGGCGGCGATGGGGAGTGAAGTGGCAGATGGAGTCATATTGTGGCACTGGAACTGTGGGCAGAAAGTTTTGTCCCCGTCTCTTTTCTCACCCTTTCCACAGAGAGCTCTGTCAGTGTGTGTGTAGGTTGGTGTGAGGTCATAGCTTATTGGAGATAGCCACTGCTCTGTCTAAGAGGGGTGGACTCAAACTGAGTAACACTGTGGGCAGTCGGAAGACGAAATCTCTCTCTCGCTCTCATTCTTTTGCTGGGGCACAAAGGGCTGTTGTGGTGTTGGATCCTGTAGTGTTGGCCTGTGTGTTAAACACTGCTTCACTGCACGTCTTTCAGAGAGAGAGAGATATAGTGAGACAGAAGAGAGAGAGAGTGACTATTGTTACCCATATAAGTAGGGGTGGAAATCAGCCCGTGCAATACAATATTATTATGATACTTCTATAGATTTGGGGGAAACTCTGCTAAGTTCTACACATTAACCAGGTAAGAGTGAGATACAAACTCCAAAGTACTAGATAGTTATTTTGGGTAAATGGGTAAAGTTCTAAAGCAGTCTAACTAAATTAAACTGAAAACCCCAACAGAGAACACAAGTACATCCTCCATACTTACAGAAATACATACAGAAAAACTGCAAAAACTCCTTTTCCACAGGATATGATGGACTATCTACTGTCATGGAAATTTGCACAGGATTAGTATAACTTTATCTCTGTGGTGAGTTTTATAGCAGGTAAAAGCCTCTGGAATCTTTATTGATGTGGGTGCACAGTCCATAAAAATCACTGGTATAACTTTGGGCGGGACTAAAATCAATAATAAACATACCAGTAAAGACATGGTAAACATGGTCCCGTCTGAACAGTACTTAAGAAAACAATGGATTTGGTATTATATTATTTGACTAATTCATCTTAAAATGTTAATTCAATTACAAATGATTAATACCTGACCCTCTGCAGGCCCAGACTGTCCATTGTGAAAACCTCCCTGTTGGAAACATCAACACCAAAACCAGCATATGTTGTGTTTTGGGAGCTGGCATGCTGGTCAACCAACATGAACTTGCTGGGGGACCTGCTGACCAGGTCAACCAACATGAAACTGTTGGGTGACCCAATCACTAGCTGACATGAAAAAAAAAAAGATCACTTGATTAACTCTTTTAGGCACTGTTTGCTGTTTCTGAATGGTGACCTCTGAGAATCATTTCAGTCCCAGGATTGCTTTAACTTTGCTTTCTCAGTCATTTATCCAGCTAGGCTGTACTACAACTTCAGTAGCACAAAGGAAGCAGATAGAGGAGTACAATTATAAATATGAACTGCCTCAGTCATTCAAAAGTGAAGGGGAATCTTTTAGCCACCGAGAGTTAAATCACAACCCGTTAGATAAATAGGGTGGTCGTTGTCTTAAACACAAAGTAAATTATTTTCAGTGGATGATGTAAAAACCTGTTGGCTTGTCTAGGTAACACTGAAAGTGATACATATCTTTTCTAATTCTAACTTAGGCTCTCATGGTTAGCCTAACTGTACTTATTCAGATGTCTCAGTTGTGTCTGTGGCTCGACCTCTCATTGACCATTTGAGCTACTAAACGCTGAGTTAAATACCAGATTCGTCACATTGATTTATCAGTTTACTCAGGTTTTAGCATCAACGTTTACATAGACTCGTTGGTTCTTTAAGGGTTCTTTAGCAAAAACAATTGTTCTATATAGAACCTGGAACACTCAAAGAACAATTTGCATGCTTAAATGGTTCTTTGCATGGTGGAATTGTTCTTCAGGTTGATGGAGAGTGTTGTGTATGGTTCTATACACATTCTCCATCAGTTTAAAGTACCATTTAATCATGCAAATGACTCTGGGTGTTTAAGTTTCTATTGCCTGTGCTAAAGAATCCTTTAAGAACCATTTTTAGGAGTATTTTAGGAGTTATGGTGTGATGACTGAGCTGATTATGGTACTACCTTCCTTAATTCAAGTTAGGTAGGGGATTTGGTATCACATCAGACACATATACTATGTACAAGTCAGCAGTTGCTTCTTATTATCAGTAAACAATAATAATGATATGTAATTGAGATGTAAATGTATTTCTCTGATCAATAACTAACCAACTTACTACTGCACTCTGTGAGTTTTGGGGATTTGGGGACCTCTCTGGTGGAAATTGTGTAATTGCATGCAATGCGCACCAGAACATTTTG